TTTTTTTTTTTGCAGTTTTTGGCCAGGGCTGGGTTTGAACCCACCACCTCCAGCATATGAGGCTGGCGCCTTACTCTTTTGAGCCACAGGCACCACCCCACTTTGTTTTATTTCTGATTTACTTTTTAAATTTTACCTGCTGTCTGATTTCCTTTGAAACTGTGATTCCAGCTATATCAAAATTCCTGAGAAGTAGCATTAAAAAGGTACATGATAACTTTTTTACTAAAATTTAAGTGGTCACCACACTATCAAGGCCTTCTCTTAATCTAATTGCTTTTCTGAATGTCAGATCTGCTAGGAGGACTATGAGGATCCTTGCTGTCCCTGAACACTCCTTATCATTTTAACTCTGCAGTTTCTGCCTGGGGTCTATTATCTCAATCCAGTGAAAAATCCCATTTTGTAAAAAATGCATTGCCTAAGTCATTTGCCTGCCTTCTTCCCACCTGCAGGCTTTTCGTCTCTCCTTGGGGACATGCCACCCTCTAACAACTACTACATGTACCAGCAGCAGCAGCCACCGCCTCAACAACAGCAGCAGCAGCAGCAACAACAGCCACCACCACCACAGCCACCTCCCCAGCCATCCCAGCCACAGCAGCAGCCCACCCCAGCCCAGGGCCCTTCCTCTGTAGGGGGTGCTCCTCCACTGCACACTCCAAGCGCAGATGGTTGTACCCCATCAGGGGGAAAGCAAGCTGGGGCTGAAGGCTACGGGCCTCCCCCTGTAATGGCCATGCATCCACCCCCACTGCAGCATGGCGGCTACCACCCTCATCAGCACCATCCCCACTCCCACCCTGCCCAGCAGCCACCACCTCCACAGCCACAGGCACAAGGCCAGGCTCCCATCAACAGCACTGGCTTTGGTGAGTGAGGAGGGTACACAGAGGTCCTAGAAGAGGGTGGCATGACCTGACTCTGGCATGGAGGTACAGTTGGTTAGGAAATCAATAGCGGGTCTTTTTCCCTTGCTACTCCATGAGAGCTCCTCTGAGCACATGGAAGTTTCTACTTAGAGCTCTATTTTATAGAATCCTTGGATAAATTGGGATTGTTTTACATATTCTGCTGATGAGCAGATGCACCTAAAGCATAGATAGCTTTACTAGTCCTAAACCTCCAGGGAGGGAGTATCCAAGTATAGATGCAAGAATTTTACATGTGGTCAGTCTGGTATCACTGAACTGCTGCCTTATACTTTATCCTATTATTATTTACATTCCCCTCCTCTTTACAGCCTTTCCTCCTGACTGGTGCTCTAATATTGACTCTTTGAAGGAAAGCTTCAAGATGGTGAATCGGCTCAATTGGTCCAGCATTGAGCAATCACAGTTCTCAGGTTAGTGATCAAAGGATAATGTCTGGAGGGAAGAGAGGGATGCATTGTAAGTGCAAAAACCCAGCAGATACTAGAACCAGAAGAGGGTGAATAAACGAAGTTTAGAGATTGAGGATTTTATTGTTTCCCCTCCATATTATACAAGATGGCTAATATTGATACTATTTTCAAATTAATCCAAATTAATTTTGTCTTATCTCAAAATATGGCAACGATTTACCCTTGTCAGTTCTGTCTTTAAGAGAGAGAAGATTTTTGGTAATTCAGAAGGCCTGGATTGCTATTTTGTAGTTTCGTCACCATTTACTGACTATGGCTGATTCACTTAGTCACTTTTAAAGTTTGTTTTAGTCATCAGTAAGATGGAAATTATAATAAGAATTTGGTGGCTAGGCGCATATAGCTCACCCGGCTAAGGCGCCAGCCACATACACCTAAGGTGGCAGGTTCAAATCCCCAGCCCGGACCCGCCAAACAACAATGACGGCTGCAACCAAAAAATAGCCCGGCGTTGTGGCGGGCGCCTGTGGTCCCAGCTACTTGGGAGGCGGAGGCAGGAGACTCGCTTGAGCCCAGGAGTTGGAGGTTGCTGTGAGCTGTAATGCCACGGCACTCTACCCAGGGGGACAGCTTGAGGCTCTTTCCCAAAAAAAAAAAAAAGAATTTGGTAAGGAACAAATAGAATGAGAGTTTAAAAATATACAGCTCTAAAAGATGTAAACAGTTATTGTTAATGCATATTATCAGTGGTGTTGACTTATGATATGCTTGGAACAGTGAAATAGTGGTGGGTCTCGAGGGGCTTTGGTGCCTCTTCGAGGTTAGCATTGCTTATCTCCCTATTTGTAGAACTGATGGAGAGTCTACGACAAGCAGAGCAGAAGAACTGGACCCTCGACCAGCATCACATTGCCAATCTATGTGATTCCCTCAACCACTTCCTTACTCAGACTGGTCACGTGCCCCCTCAAGGGAGCTCCCACCGGCCACCAGCTCCATCACGTATTGCTGACTCCTGTGCCCTCACCAGTGGCAAACAGGAGCCAGCTATGAACCAAGGTACTGTGCAGAGCAAGTTGCCATGGAAGTGGATACCAAGATGAAAGGAAGGGGAGGAAAAAGGCAAAAGAGAATTGGGAGAAAATGTGTTATGGGTAATGGTCCAAACTGAGCTGTGGGACTAGTTTATCAGTTGACAGACTGGTTGACCAAACATCTACTGACTCAGTAAAGTCCTCTACTGAAAAATGCAAAAGAAAGGCTGGGTGTGGTGGCTCACTCCTGTAATCCTAACACTTTGGGAGGACATGGTGGGTGGATTATCTAAGCACAGGAGCTGGAGACCAGCCTAAGCAAGAGTGAGATCCAGTTTCTTTTTTTTTTTTTTTTGAGACAGAGCCTCAAGCTGTCACCCTGGGCAGAGTGCCGTGGCATTACAGCTCACAGCAACCTCCAACTCCTGGGCTCAAGCAAGTCTCCTGCCTCCGCCTCCCAAGTAGCTGGGACCACAGGCGCCCGCCACAACGTCCGGCTATTTTTTGGTTGCAGCCGTCATTGTTGTTTGGCGGGCCCGGGCTGGGGATTCGAACCCGCCACCTTAGGTGTACGTGGCTGGCGCCTTAGCCGGTTGAGCTATAGGCACCGAGCCGAGATCCGGTTTCTAAAAATAGCCAGGCATTGTGGCCAGTGCCTGTAGTCTCAGCTACTTGGGAGGCTAAGACTTACTTGAGCCCAAGAGGTTGAGGTGGCTGTGATCTAAGATGCCACAGTACTCTGTCGAGGGTGACCAGATGAGATTCTGTCTTAAAAAAAAAATTTAAAAGAAACAAAATATATTATTTCTTTTTAGGCCTTAGTTGAGGAGATGGGAATTACTTGAGTAAAGGGAGGAGATGTGTTAGAGACTAAGTTTCCATTTTAGATTTGTGTGTCAGTAACTCCTGCTTGATCATATTGGGTTGAATGGTGACTCTGCACTTACCTGATTTTCAGACTAGTTAAATGAGAGAGATTTGATGACCATGTTTGTGTTTGTCATCTTCTTATCTTTGATATTTCACAGTTTTAGTATTGGTCCCATTTTATCCTATGTGGTGAGGACTGATCGCCTCTGCAGAAAGTCTTCATGTCTGCATACAGAACAGAGCATGTAAAGTAGAAAGATTGATAGGAAGAAAGGCCCATTCCCTGCTTTATTGAGTATAGTGACCCTCCACTCAAGTAACTCTTGTCTTTCTTTGGCAGTGAACTCTTATGGGCACCCACAAGGTCCCCACCTCTATCCTGGCCCATCACCAATGTACCCAATCCCCACCCAGGACTCAGCAGGATACACTCGCCCAGGTAAGAGCTGGGAAGCTTGTTTCACCACCACTCAACCCTGATGAATTGTATCGTTTTCCTCTGACTTGGAGCTTGCTTTCTCTGCCCTTTTGCCAGCATCTGCCAGGGCTTGGAGATGAGCCTTCATGATTCTTAAGGCTGGAGGATAGGCTACCTGTTAGGGAGGTATCTGTCAGGGAAGACTAACTTAGAAGACGGATTTATTTTAAAATTAGTTAGTAACTGCAATATTTAAAGGAAATAAAAGCATAAATACAAGCAAAAGATAGGTATGTGGAACATTTATGTCTAGCTTTGAAATCTAGATGGTAGATATACTCTGCCAAATAAAATGAATTTGTTATACAAACTTACTTGCTTTGTGCCCATGACTGTTTTCCTGTCAACTGACTATGTTATCAGGGGTCTGGGATTGAACTATCTTTGATGGATCTTTCACATTCAAATATATTTTTAGAAATATCATTATCCCTAACCACAAGTGCCATCAGTTTTGGAGGTGGCATCTAACTCTGTATTCTTTGTCCATGTAATAAGGATACAAATTTCTGTAACAAATGACATGTTATATTACACGTTGTATGCTATTTTATCATC